TCGGCAGCCGGGACGCCTTCCTTTTTCGCGTTGGAGCAATAGACCCGGTCCCCGGGGCGGCTGTTGGTTGTTGCGTGCTAGTATGTCTAGCCGCCCCTAGAACCAATCCTTGGGGTGGAAGGAGTGTGTTCAGCAACCGACCCTCATCAGGGGATATCAGGGGCCATACAACCGACCACCATCATTGAAAGTATCTACAGTCTCAGGGTTGGAGCGGAAAGGAATATAAGAATTGGAAGTTATATACGTGGTGAGCTGGGAGATATAAGAAGGGATTGAATTTGGTAGGACTCGTCGGTCGGGACTTTGAAAAATTATATGAGGACAAGCGACGGGTCCAGGGATACCTTGGCAACAGCCGAACTGGCGCGCCATGAATTGAGGTTCATAATTAAAAGTGTAAAAGGTTTTCTGCCCCTTTTTATCAAGTTTTTTGCTACTAAAAAGAGACCTGGGTTTGAGGGCAACGTCCCAGGCAAAAGGATAAGTGGAATGAGGACAAGGCTCAGGAGTCGGAAGCGGATTTGGTACTGGAAAAGGCCAAAAATGGTCGGGAGCATAGCCCGCATATTTTTTATACATAGAAAATCGAGAGTTACTGCGGGTATCTGTTAAAACTGCGATTATTATCGGATCGGAAGATTGGAGGTTATTGCGTCCTGAGCAGAGTCGGTTAAGGGCTAATCCCAAATGTTTTTCAGCTGTTGGCATAGTGGGCGGAGATCCTAAGTTAAACGCATTGGGGAAGTAGAGCCGGAACCAAAGTTCTAAAAACCAAAAAGGACCCGACGCGGCAGTATCTAATTTCCTATTATCATTATCTGTTAAACGAAGGCTAACTCTAGTGAGTCCTTCAAACAGATTGGCTAAAAACAGGGTGCCAAGAGAGAAAAAACGACCTGACGCGATATGAATGGCTAGGTCGAGATGAGAAGGAAGAACACATTTGGAAGGGGAAACAATGACGTACCTACAAAGCCAGAAAAGGATAAAGGCAGTATGCTCCCGGTCGGTTACAGGGGTCCCTGGAGCCCCTTGCTGGTCGGTTGCGAACTTTGTCCAACCCCATTCCTTCACACCTTGTAAAGACCACCCTGGATGGTCTTCTGATGGCTCCTGCCCATCTAGGGCTCCCATTACAGGGTCTTCACCCACGACTGGGAGATGCGCGATCATTGCAACGTCCATAAGAGTTGGGCCAAAGGGGCCTGATGGGAGGAGGAAAGTCCCATTTTCCGCATTCCAGAAGGCAGACATGGCCAACAACACCTTCTCATGCAGGTTGATAGGCATGGTGGACAGTAGTATTGCTTGGTCGATCTTTTGGGAACGCCATTGGGTTTGGAAGTGTTCTGCTACCCGTCGATACCAAGCGCGGTAAGGATCTTTTGGGTCCGTCAGATGGGTTTTGATGCTGTCTCGAATGCGAAGTGCTTGGTAGTTAGGGTTGTTGATAGCCAAGAGATTTCGGGATTCCAAGACTTCCCTCATCCGATTTGAATCTTCAGGATTAATGCAATATGGACGGATCGTCGGAGTTAGTACTTTCGAGGCTGAAAATGGGCCCCCCGGGAGGGTTCCGTCGAAGGGAAGGGCAGGAATGTATTGATTCGCCATGGTTAGAGTGCTTTGGGATTGTGATTCACAAAAGTTTGTATGGCGGAGAAGGAAGTTAATCAGGAGTGTTGCAGTAACTGGTGCAGTTGCTAAGGGAGTTTTTCAAGAGGGTGGTGATTTATGAACTTCCAAACATTGATTGTTAAATGGCGTTTGAAAGTCCCTTGGCGGCGGGCAAGTTGTTACGTACGAAATTTAGAATTAGGTTTGTTACGTACGAAATTTAGAATTAGGTTAAAAGCCCAAGGTAAAAAGAATAGTGGGCCTGGAAATAGAGTTGATTGAACTGACTGAAGGGCACCATGAGGAAATCAAGGAAAAATAGGTTTATTACTAAGGAAAGCCCTCAGGTCGGAAGGACCTCAGGTCGGTAGGTCATCAGGACGGAAGGACCTCAGGTCGGTAGGTCCTCAAGACGGAAGGACCTCAGGTCGGAAGGTCTTCAGGACGGAAGGACCTCAGGTCGGTAGGTCCTCAAGACGGAAGGACCTCAGGCCGGAAGGTCTTCAGGTCGGGAGGTCCTCAAGACGGAAAGTCATCAGGACGGAAGGACCTCAGGTCGGTAGGTCCTCAAGACGGAAAGACCTCAAGTCGGAAGGTTTTCAGGTCGGGAAGTCCTCAAGGCGGAAAGACCTCAAGTCGGAAGGTTTTCAGGTCGGGAGGTCCTCAAGACGGACAGATCTCAAGTCGGGAGGATTGGCAGTCGGACCCATACTATTGTATAATCGGCAGTCGGGCCAAAAGAGCGGAAGGTTTGTGGTCGGCTCAAAGAGTGAAATATAGGGATAATTTTGGTCTGCTGGGGACGCGTGTCAGCATGAGAAGGGTTGGAAGACGGTTAGGAAAGAGACGTTGTAACCGTTCGGGTGACGGTTTTCGGTACGGTTTCCCAGAGAATATTTAAAGGCTTGGATAATCATTTGGCAAAGGATCTTCAATCAACTTCAACAAAGCAAAGTCAGATTTGGGGATCACCACTTTAAATTTCAGTCTTTTATTTTCCAGTTTATTTTCTGTATTCTACAGTGTTTAGAGATTCCTAATCTCAGGCACTAATCAAGTTTAAGGATATTTTCTATATCTTTGAATTTTACTTTATTTTTGTTGAAAAATTACATCAACACTATTTTTTTTTAATGGTTAATAATTTTCTTAGAGCAATAGTTATTCTCAAGCTTAAAATGATATTTCACAACATGATTATTTTTGTGTAATAACCAATGCTATTTTCTTATTTTGTTCATGTAGAGGATGCATTGTGATGTTCTATGTATGCGCAATGAGAGACCAGTTGGAGGACATAAAATTTCGGAGATTATAGGTGATGTTGTGCACATAAAATTGACATTAATCACTCTTCTCAAGAAAACAATAATTCTCGAGAGTGCGTGGGATCCCTTGTGTGCATTTTATGCGACTTCGTATCTTTGGCGAGCTTTTCTAATCACACTCCCAGATGGCATGTGGACGTCTCTATCTTTGGCAAGGCTTTCTAACAAAGATTTCTTGGCATGCCAATGTGTGGTAAATTCACAAATGTTGCAATCTTGTTAAGGACATTCGACATTTTATTTTAAATCCATTCACTTAAACGACTAATGTGATTCTTTTGTGTTGTAGGCAGATGTCCATAGGGCGGATCTGATGGTGGTGGCTTCACTCCTGGGAGATCATTAGAGGGTGTTTAATTTGTATCAGCTATGCTGGCGAGAGTGATAGCAGTAAGGATGTTAAAATGGTCGCGACGTATTTCATCTTTTTGAAGGTGGAGGGCCTTATCAAAATTGCCGTTCTAGTATGTGATCAGCTATATATATATATATATATTAAGGTTTATTGGATATTGGCGACTTTGGTAAACACAAGTGTTGTGAGAATTATGGATGCATGTATGGTCGATATTAATTGAGATGTAATTCTACTTTACTTATAATAAAATCCCGGCATTTGAACGGGACCTTTCCACGTTAACTCTTTCTTTTGTTGTTTGGTGGCTTCTGTATTTTTTCTAGGTTAATTCTTGTTACTTAAACTTTATTTTAAGAATACAAGATTTACAGAGTTGAGAAGGGCCAATGGAACTTACCAATTTCTTCTTGATCGAGTCAACTCAGTCTTTTATCAAATTTACACGTAAGAGTTGTTGATTTGGTGAAGTGATTAGCTTCAATTTTATCAGGCATTTTTTTGGTCGAATTTGTCATCAAGTAAAGAATTATAACTGTGAGTTAATCCAAAGTTTCTTAATTTCAAAATAATAAAAAAAAATTAATATTTTCTTTTAAGGAAAAAATCAATATTGGTCCATTAAAATAATTTTTATTTTTTTATTTTCAATTTTGGTCTCTATATAAATAATTTCTAATATATCAAACTTGAACTTGATTATATATATTGTTGGCTTTAATGTGTACATTTTGGCAATGAAATTCAAACAAAACTATCATGTTTTAGTACTATATTTTTGTATGGCCTTAGTTAGCGGTCCCGGATAGAAAGTGAATCAGAATAAAAAGTTATCAAATAATTCAAAGCTTTGATTAATTGAGTAACTTAACAAGATTAAATGAACAATGAGTTTGACTGATTTATACTCAATATGTCTTCTTTTAGCTGAGCTTTTGCGCTAAAAAATTTATGTGAGAGTATAATTGTTGCATTGATCGGATCTGCTTGAAAATTCATTGATTCAATGTAGATTAACAATTGAATACAATTGTGATACATTGCCAATTTGTTTTAGGAATTAAAACTTCATCCATCTCCTAAAGTTATTTTCAAATGTCCTTTTAGTATGTCCACTCAATTTACTTATTACTAATTTTAGCAAAGTCAACAAATAATATTTATTTACAACTATTACTATCTTTATTATATACTCTCTTTATTTTCTTTAATTTTTACTTAAAATTTCAAAATACATACAACTATTTTTTATCACATTTTTAATAAAATATTATCAGTTTTTAATCTACGTGCTGAAATCAAGTGTGCTAATTTTACCGGACGGAGGGACCATTAGATTAAAAAGAAAAGACCAGTTGCTAAGTTTAAAGTTAAATCAAATTCACATAGAAGGAGGCTCGATGCGTAATTGGAGTACGTGTCGCACTCTGGTTTCATGCTTGAAATAGATCGACCAATGCTCGGCACGTAGTGGGTACGTGTCTTGCTCTGGTTTTATGAATCAAACCGATCGACCAATGCTCGTCACGTAGTGGGGTACGCGTCGTGCTCTGGTTTTATGCATGAGACAGATCCACCACTGCTCGACACATAGTGGGGTAAGTGTTGGGCTCTGGTTTCGTGCATGAAATGGATCGACCACGTGTCCAGCGACGTTGGCTCTCAATAAATAGACCCCACATCCTCCCTTTCTTGCTCACACACACACACACACACACAAATTGTATCTGGGAGCAGCAAGAAGATTTATGTTCTCTTTTTTCACTAGCAACTCTGTCGGTTGTTGATGATCAATGTTTCGCAAGAGTCTTTTCAGGTTCAGCATCTAAGTTATTTACAGATTTCCTTTTTGTCTATGCTTCCCTCTAGTTATTATCGCCATTGAAAACATTATTTATTTGTGCGATCTTTTAGGATACTAAGCCATTAGATCTTCTTGTTCGCAGAAGATTGTACGGTCGGAGAGCGTGGATTCAATGTAGTGAATCCTATTATGAACTGAACATGGAGTTACATAAATAGAAGTTGAGCAAGAACCATGGATTTGATCCATCTGTCTTTCGCAAGCTTTTCTAATGAAGATGCTCGCGTTCGATGGCAGCCTGTGAGTTTTTTTGTATTTCTCTTTATCCTGCCTCCCCCCCCTCCCCCGCCCAATTTTGCATAGCCTGTTGTTTTCATTCGCGCCGTTACTTACAATCGACGATATAATCATGTTGTAGGTGGATGCTATCGAACTATTACGATGTGGTTCTAAAGGGCTTAACGAGGAAGCATGGGGCTTAAAGATGTTACTCCATCGATATAAACCCGAACCAGACTTTCTACTCGAATGGATCTCGAAATCTGCTTAAACTCCATCCCAGGGCCATCTCGGAGTTGTCTTAGGCCCTAAGCAAAAAAATTAAATTATAGGCCCCTAAACATATTATTAAATTTATTTTTAAAATAATACTGATGATAAATATAATAATAAATTCTACAAAAATAAAAATTATTTAATCATATATCTAATAAAAAAGCATAAGCACAAAGTGTATCATAAAAATAAATAATATCATGATTATTGTAAAACCAATAGTGGTATAATAATAATAATAACAACACTAATAATATTATTATGAACTCCAAATGTATTTTTATTGCAAAATCTTTTTATAAATAAAGAAAAATAAAAATAAATTTAAGTTAAATTTTAACAGGTAGGGTGTGCGGGTGAAAAATAATGGATATGAAGAGCAAAAAAAATTGTTAAAATTTAATTTTAGAATTTGAATTGAATTGGATAACTATATATATATAAAACAATTAAAATCTAAAATCTAATTTAAAATTTAATACATCTAATTTAATAACAGTAATAGTCTAAATTCTAAAATTATGGGCCCTCTTACACTAGGGGCCCTGAGCGCTCATGTTGCTCCACCTAAGAGTCGGCAATGCTCCATCCACTAGGATTGTTTTGGTGGTTCAAGATCAATGAATTGTTGGAATATTTTTTAATTCAAAAAATATATATTGATGTGATGTTTTAGAATGTAATTTGTGAATTTTGGATGCGATTGCAGTATGAATAATGTGAAAATAAATTTGAGTTACAGAGACACATTCTTATTTTCTCGCCAACATTGTTGAATGGAAATTGCACTCGTCAAGTGATTTTGTTTATGTTAATTTATCGTTTCGAATAAATTTTAAGTGCTTCCTTGAATGATTATATTTATCCATAGATTTAATATTAAATGATCATATATCTTGATGTATAATTGAAAAGTAAGAATAAGATAATTGCTTCGGAAATTCGAAACCCAAAAAAAGTGGTCTCGAAAATTCCAAGACAACTAGGAACCATATTAACCTATGATGCCTGCAGCTTCGGATTTGGTCTCGAGAATTTTGAGACCTCTGAAACGGCAACAAATTTTACTCTTCGGACACTATTCTGAAGCAAATTCCAAAGCTTTAAGCAAATGGTTTTTGATCTAATTCAAATTCCAAGACCATTTTTATGAAGTCAAAAATATTTTTTTGGTAGTGATTATCCGGCATCGATACAAAATATCGATATTATGAAAACAATATATGTTTACAGGAATAGTAAACATTGAAGAATAAAATATGAAAAAAATTGTAAAGTAAATACACCCTCAATTTCCATTTAATTTATTAATAGGAGATAGTTATCGTTTGAATTAAACATTCGACTTCACACTCGACATTACAATCATATGCATTCCAATATCAAAGCAAACTCTGACGTTTGATTTTGATTTTTTTTTTTTGCAATGACAAAAAGATCGTTTATGATATTTTATAGGTATCGAATTGAAAGGAAAATAAATGTCTTCTAAATTTATGATTCCATCAAATTAAATAGATCATTAAATAATGGATTCTTTCCCCTTATAATATGTATTACTCTCTCCCAAGCCGTTCGGAGTTTTTTTAGGCCCTGAGAAAAAAATTAAATTATAGGCCCTGTAAACATATTATTAAATTTATTTTTAAAATAATACTGACCATAAATATAATAATAAATTCTACAAAAATAAAAAGTATTTTAATCATATATCCAATAAAAAGGCATAAGCATAAAGTGTATCATCACTGAAAAATAAATAATATCATGATTATTATAAAACCAATAGTATAATAATAATAATAATAATAATAATAACAGCACTAATAATAATACTATGAACTCCAAATGTATTTTTCATTGCAAAATCTTTTTACAAATAAAGGCAAATAAAAATAAATTCAAGTAAATTTTTAATAGGTGGGGAATATGAAAGAGAAAAAAAAAATTGTTACATTTTAATTTTAGAATTTGAATTGAATTGGATAACTATCATATAAGTAATTAAAATCTAAAATCTAATTTAAAATTTACTACATCTAATCTAATAAAAGTAATTGTCTAATTTCTAAAATTATGGGCCCTCTGACACTAGGGGCCTCGAGCACTTGCTCATATTGCTCCCTCAAGAGTCGGCCATTAGTTTATTATTTTTTATTAGAAATGTCTAGAAATTTAAATATATATTTTTTTAAAATTTAAAACTACATGTATCTTTTCAAATACAATTACATGTAAAATATATTTAGAAAGTCATACTAAAAGCAAAAAATAAAACAAAAAAACTACTCTCTCCGTTCCACGAAATTAGTCAATTTTTTCTTTTTTAGCCGTCCCACGAAATTAGTCTACTTTCCTATTATAGTAATAATTAATAACTAATACTTTTAATTAAAAAAACTTAACTATATTTTATTAACTTATTAATATTTTTAGTTTTATTATTTGTTAATTGTAAATTTAGAAGTTTGGCTAAAATTTTGAATAATAAAAATAATAAATATTTAATATTATATAAATAAATATTCATTTAATTTTAAAATTAAATTTTAATGCAATATATAATAAAAATTTGGTGTTGATTTGAAAATTTATGGCTAAAAAATTAATCAAAAGTAGATTTGATATTGGTTTTTCTTTCTTTGTTAAAAAAAATAGAACTTATTTATAATGCAAAATTATAAACTTATTTTTAATTTCGGTATTTGACGTAAAATATTATATTCTAATACCGTGTATACAATTCAGTTAGAGATGGTTTGAGATAGTATACCAAAAATATCAAAATATATTGTATACCGTACCAAATCTTTTAATTTATTAAAAAAATATATCGATATTATATCAAATAATTAGTATATACAAAAATACCAATTTTTAAAAATTATCTATATACACTGAAAATATCTTATTCTATATCGTTATCACACAAAAAAAGTCATATTGTATCGAAATTTTAAAATTTTTTCGGTATTTTTTTTACGAGTATGCATGTTATTTCCGTAATTCAGTATTTTTTATTCGCAAATTCGGTATACCAAAATATTTGTACGGTACGGTAAAATATCATACCAAAAAATTTGTACCGTACATATGCGATGCGGTATTAAATTTGGTACGTCATAACGAACTATCTCTAACAACCACCAAATTCGAAAAATTTTATGTATTGTTTATATAATATTTTTTATTGTATAAATTACATTTAAGTTATTAAAATAATTTTTTTTTAAAATCTAAATGCATATATTGATTTACAATAAATACAATTATTATTATTATTTTTAAATAATATCAGTAAATAAAAAATTCAGTATTTTAAATTAAAATAAAAAATATTTTAACTTTTTATTTAATATTTTATCAAATAAAAAATATTTAATATAACACTTTATTAAATCCAATCAAACTAATTAATTACCTAACACAATATTTCTTAAATTGCGTGCCCAAAAGAAACTGGACTAATTTCATATGACAGAGGGAGTATATAGTTAGAATAAAGTACAAGTCTTTTTAGGTTAAAAAGATATATATTATGCATAAAATAGGCCTTTTGTGGGTACATTTATTTTCTCGTGCTTTATGTTGATAAATAGTGTGTGACGATATTATCTAAGCAATTTTGTTTATAGGCAAAACATATTTACTTTTACACACAAAATACATTTAAAAAGTCGTGTTAGAGCAAAACAAGCAAACTAAAAAAAGACTAAATCAGAATAAAATATGATTATTTTAAGTTACAGAGATATACATGAGACATAAAATAGGGTTTTTTTTGTAGTTGGATACACATTTTTTCGTGCCCCGTATTGAGAAATAGTATGTGGCAATATTAATTATTTTTTGTAGTTGCTACACTCATATTTTTGTGCCCAATGTTGATATATACTCATGGTGATGTTATGGAAGTGTTTTTGTTTTTGCACCTAAATTCATTTAGTTTTATTTTTTTTGTAAAAAAAAAATGAAGTTGTTTACTTTGTATTTTATTTTATTTTATTTTTAATATTTACAATTATTCATAAAAATACACTATTATCTCTTACAAACACTTATATCATAATACTATTTAAATCAAAATTCAAATCTAAAATAAAAAAGAAAAGAAAAAGAAACACACTTCTGTTTAGGTTGTTCTATAGATATTAATATATGTACTAGATTGAATATGAAAATTCTATATTGACAAAATATTTTTATGTTAAATAGACCGTTAAAAGTACTAGATTCTTCATAAAACAATGATTATACTAAAAACATAGGGTTTGTTTATATTTAATTTCGTTTCAAACTAAAATTATTGGTATTTGTTCCATATAATTCTCAAAAAAGTTATGCTCATTCCGTCCCATAATAAAATATCAATTTTTTCATTTTAGTCCGTCCCATAACAAGGGATCCATTTCCTTTGTTTTAGTAACTGTACTATCTACCTAATATTACAAATACCCTTGAAAGTATTTTTAAAACTATGTGCAAAAAGCAAATGGATATCTAGTTATGGAACGGAGGGAGTACAAAATTTTTATTCTTATAAAAATTGATATCAAAATACTATTAAAATTAAAATATAAATAAAAAACTAAAACTCAAGCTAAGAACCTAACAAACCCATATTTTCCAATTTAAAATTAAAATTTAAATAAAAAACTAAAACTCAAGGAAAAACCAAACAAACCCATATTTTCTAATTTAAAATATTACATTCAAGACAAATTATATCAAATGTCCATTTCTTATTATTTTAAAACTAATTTATAACTCTAAAATATTTTCAAAATATATTTAAATTCAATGAGTATTTTTTTAGTTAAATCAGATTGTAGGCATAAAATAGGTCTTTTGTAGTTGCTATGCTCATTTTATTGTGCACTATGTCCATAAATGGCATGTGACGATATTATCTAAGTATTTTTTTTATTACACATAAATTTTATTTATTTATTTTTTTAAAAGATATTTATTTTATGTATAGATACTAATTAATTCACTTAATTAATTTTGAAGATTCTATTTTGACAAAATATTTGTATATTAAATTAGGAGTTAAATTTGAAAACTCTTATTACTAATAATAATAAAAAGAAGAAAATTGACATAATAGTACTACTCACCATAAGAAAGAAAATATCGAAATAGTATTTGACATGTATCTCAATATGTCTCTCGTACTAATTTCGTACATGAAGTGGATCCACAACGTGTTCACCAAAATAATGTCTAACACGCATCTCAATATGAATCACACATTAATTTTGTGCATGAAGCAAATCAATCACGTGTTCATAATAGTGTCTGACATGTATCTCAACATGCTTCACACACTAATTTCGTGCATGTAGCGGACCACCCATGTGTTCACCATCGTTAGTTAATAAATATCATATTGGTCTGCCTCTCTTCTTGATAACCAAAAGAAAGTTTTGCAAAGCCTTTTGTTGTATTTTGGTCCGTAGATCTGACCCGTTTGATCCGCTTGTTGGGAACAAATAAGGGAAGAGAGGGAAAAATAAATAAAAGACACGAGAATTTAACGTGGTTCGGTATTATTACAAATTTTGTACGGACAAAATTAAAAAACCCTCATCACAACAACTCACCAAATCTCAATTCCACTCTCTTTAGTTACCAGGAAAAAAGGCTTGTTGTCTTATCTTAAAACAAGACCCAAATTGGTCAATTTATAGGAGTCAATGCCCCAGTGTTTTTTTTTATCACTTTTCCTATGTGGGATTTGAGAAGTTACACAATAAATCCTCCATCTTCCCATAGTCTCACATATTTCGACCCTGTCAGAAAAATAAACTATCTTCTCGATTTTCTGATTCTTCATATCATTGCTGCTCTCTACATTTATTCGCAAGGCATATCCATCTAGATAATAGATGTTTTGTTTCTTCCTCCCTTGCATAATCAAGTTGCCACCCTTGTACACTTTGCATAGATTTTTAGTGTCAACATATCTATACCCATATGAAGCCAACTCACCCAATGAAATAACATTAGCTCCAACAGTAGGCACGTACCTCACATTAAAAATTATTTTGACATTACCATTGTGGAGCTTCAAGCGAACTCTTCCAATGCCTTCACTTCCCTGCTTCATCTTATTCCCCACATTGTTATACCAAAAATCTCCCTTTGTATGCAAAGTATCAAATAAAGCTTGATCTTTACATATATGGACATTGATAGTTTGAAATCACATGCGTTTTATATTCATATCATATGCGATATTTGGGTGATTTTGATTGGATTCTACCTAATTTATATGCTAATTTTTTATTTGTTGTGTGCAGAGGGCAAATATTAAATTTGGCATAATTGGCAGAAAAAAGAAAATAAAATTAATTAAAGGCCCAAAAGCCCATCTACAAAATAATTAGGGCAAAAATCAAATAAGAAGAAAGAGACACGCCTATTTTGGCAAGAGAGAATGGCTAGGGCAGAAACGCACAGGAGCAGGAGACTGACAGATTCATAGATCGCGCAGGAGCAAATCGACAGAGAAGATTTCCCCCTCCCACTATGACTTCATTTTTCTCTTTTATTCTTTGTCATTTGATTATGGAGTAGATATTTTTCTAGTTTGAGGGTGATAATGTTTTGGTTCTTTTGTTTTGGAGATTCTTGATTTTCTTTATAAAAGTTCTTTTTGATTCTCAATATTTGTCTAATTTTGAGAATAGCGTTTGTGATTGTTAGATTGATTGAATATTTTGGTACCGATATTTAAATTAGTCTGATAATCTAAAGTCAATTCAGGTAGGATATCCGTAATTATATTCGCACTTGAATAGGCGATAACCAGGTTGAATAGTTCCTTCCCGGGGGTTAGACAATCAAATCTAATTGCTCATCCTAGGTAGTAATTGTTTTGAATTGGGTTTTTCTAGATTACAATGCGGTTAGGCAATATTCTTATGGGCGCACCTAGGTTTATTTGCTTAATTAGGCGTAGTTAACGGTCGTACCTTAATTACCTACACTGTAGGGAAAAATTGATTGTCAGAGCTTGTTGATAACTATAACCAATTTGTTGATACTTTAATAAGAATTAATTTTATTGAATTAATGATAAAATACAAGTGCCATAACTGCATCATCCCTTGAGCCAGGCATCCCCTTGATAGTCAGTTCCCCCTTAATTTAATTGCTTTGTTATTTTATTTTCATTAGATAATAAAAGAAAAATCCCCCTTTATTTACTGCATTAGAATATGAAAGAGTGAATCACACAATCCCTGTGGAGACGATCCCTTCCCCTGTATTACATTAAATTGTGATCACGGATTAGGTGAAATATTTGATTGACTGCGCGACAGGTCAATTTTTGGTGCCGTTGCCGGGGATTGGCACTTTGTTTTACTCTTTTGTGTTATTTTAATTTATCCTCCTGTTTATGCCCCGTTCTTCTCGTACAGGTGAACTGATATTTAATCTTGAGATCGAGAAGGTTGAGCGAAAGCTACGAAAGGAAACCAAGCAACGAAAGGCTGCTCAGGTTGCGAAGCTGGAAGAATCTTTAAACTACCTCAGAATCTCTAGCTCTGGCGACTCTGAAAGTGATCAAGAGACTGTCATGGTTGAGGATACTCGCACTCTAAGGGACTTGGCTGCTCCCAACTTGGCGCAGCAGCCCTTATGCATTAACTTCCCAACTCTGAATAACACTATTGCTTTTGAACTGAAATCTGGCTTAATCCATTTACTGCCTTCTTTTCATGGACTTGCAGGTGAAGAACCTCACAAACACTTGCAAGAGTTCGACGTGGTGTGCTCCAGCATGAAACCACCAGGTGTTACTGATGAACAGATCAAACTCAAAGCCTTCCCATTCTCACTTAAAGATGCTGCAAAGGATTGGCTCTACTATCTCCCACCTGGAAGCATTGACACGTGGAACGACATGAAAAAGAAATTTTTGGAGAAGTACTTTCCAGCTTCCAGAGCTGCGATCCTGAGGAAGAAGATATGTGGCATCAAACAACAATCAGGTGAAACGCTCCATGAATATTGGGAGCGATTTAATAAGCTTATCATTAAATGTCCACAACATCAAATTCCCCCTCAACTATTGATTCAATATTTTTATGATGGTTTATCATTGATGGACAGGAACATCATCGACGCTGCAAGTGGTGGAGTTCTATTAAATAAGACGCCGACACAAGCTTGGGATCTTATTGCGAGGATGGCTGAAAACACGCAACAATTTGGTTCAAGGGATGTTGGACAGATGAGCGGAAACAACAGTGACCATGCCATCCAATCGATGCAACAACAACTTTCTGAGTTGACGAGCTTTGTTCGCAAGATGGTCGTGGAAAAATCCAACCCGAGTGTCCAGGTCAAGGTGTGTGGAATATGCACGAGTGCAGGACACCCTACAGATGCATGTCCGACCCTCCAAGAAGAATGTGCAGTGGATGTGAACGCTGCAAACTACGGTATGAATAGACCTCCAGCGTACAATCCATACTCCAACACCTACAATCCAGGCTGGAGAGATCATCCAAACCTGCGCTATGGAAACGCACACCAGAATCATGGTCCTCAACCATTTGGAGCCACACATCAGATGCAACAGCCTCGCCCTTATGAGAAACAGCTCCCCCAAGCACCCACAAACAACTCATGTCCGTCCTTGGAAGACTTGGTGAAGTCTATGGCTACCAGTACCCTGCAATTCCAGCAAGAGATGAAGTCAACTGTTGACAAGCTACAAAGTCAGATTAGCCAAGTTTTAGAAGAGGTAAAACAGCTACGAGAAAGAGGAAAGTGGCCTGCGCAACCAGAGCAAAACCCGAAGAACATCAGTGCCATAACTCTTCGCAGCGGAAAGGAATTGGAAGGTCCACCTCCTATCTCGAAGGAACAAAATGAGGATCAGATTAAGATGGAGATTGAAAAACAAGTTGAACTTCATGAAAAGGTACTTCCTAACTCTGTTCCTCCTACTGAAACTAAATCAGCTCCTTTTCTTGACAGGTTGAAGAAACCGCAAAAGGCAAACAAACGAAAAGAGATGATGGAAATATTCAAGAAAGTGGAACTTAGTATCCCCCTCCTGGAAGCTATCAACCAAATCCCCAAGTACGCAAAGTTTTTGAAAGAACTGTGCACCAACAAAATAAAATTGCGAGGGGACGAGCATATTATAGCGGGTGAGAATGTTTCTGTTGTTATTAAAAGAAATGTACCACCTAAAACAGGTGATCCAGGTATGTTTTCTATCCCTTGTAAGATTGGAAAAACTGAGATAACTAAGACTATGCTAGACTTAGGAGCTGCTATTAATGTCATGCCACGATCAATATACGACCCTTTAAATCTATTTCAATATTTTTGATGGAGAAGAAGTCCATTTCAATATTTTTGATGCTGTGAAACATCCTATTGATTTTGAAACATTATATGCAATTGATATCATTGATCCTTTGGTGTAGGACACATTTGGATTAAGTGGTTCCGACGAATTGAATATCGTGTTAATGGAACATCTGGAGAAAGAACATGGGAGAGAGATAGCCGTAGACAAGAGAATAAGAAAAGTTCTCAAGGAGCTTAACTCAACTCCAAGAGTGTCACCAAGGTATGAATTAGGTCCAATATTCTTACATGAGTCTAATCAATGTTTATTACCGTCTTTGATGCAGGCACCTGAATTGGAATTGATACATGAGTCTAAAGTACGCTTATTTGGGAGAGAATAAGACTCTACCGGTGATCATCTCTGCAAAATTGACACCAGAACAAGAAGAGAAATTGATTAACGTTCTAAAAGATCACAAGACCGCCATTGGATGGACGATCGCTGACATAAAAGGTATTGATCCCTCGTTCTGTACTCATAGGATCACACTCGAGGAGGATTCAAAACCAGTGAGACAAGCTCAAAGGAAGTTGAACCCGATTATGACTGAGGTAGTCAAGAAAGAAGTGTTAAAGCTTCTCGAAGCTGGTATCATCTACCCTAACTCCAATAGTAGGTGGGTGAGTCCGGTTCAAGTGGTTCCCAAGAAAGCTGGAGTAACGGTGAAAGAGACTCGAGAAGGAGAAAAGCTCCCGGTTTGAAAACAAACTGGATGGCGTCAATGTATAGATTACCGAATGCGGTAACAAAAAATGATCATTTTCCTCTCCCTTATATTGATCAAATGATTGAACGACTCGCTGGTCGCGCATATTACTGCTTTTTAGATGGATTTTCAGGTTATTTTCAGATAGCGATAGCACCCGAGGATCAGGAGAAAACATCATTCACTTGTCCGTTTGGAGTTTTCGCCTACAGAAGGATGCCTTTTGGTTTGTGTAACGCTCCTGCTACATTCCAAAGATGTATGGTAAGTATTTTCTCTGAGTATATTGAGCGAATCATTGAAGTTTTTATGGATGAATTTAGTGTATATGGCTCTAGTTTTGATGATTGTCTAGGTAATTTGACTTTAATCTTGAAACGATGCATCGAAACTAACCTTGTGCTCAATTAGGAGAAATGTCAACTGATGGTTCAGCAAGGAATTGTTTTAGGCCATAAGGTGTCACATGAGGGTATAGAAGTAGATAAATCTAAAGTTGAGCTAATCACTGCTTTACCTTACCCTGCTTATATGCGAGAGCTGCATGGTTTTTTAGGACATGCAGGTTTCTACCGACGCTTCATCAAGGACTTCTCGAAGATCGGAGCACCATTGTTTCACCTCCTGCAGAAAGATGTAGCATATGAGTTCAATGACGATTGCAAGAAGGCATTTGGAGCACTGAAGGAGCGCCTTACAACACCACCGATTATTCAACCTCCGAATTGGGACTTGCCATTCGAGTTGATGTGTGATGCAAGCGATACTGCAGTGGGAGCCGTTCTAGGGCAACTAGTTGGGAGAGCTTCTCATATCATCTACTATGCTTCGCGAGCACTGAATGGCGCTCAATTAAATTACTCCACCACGGAGAAAGAGATGCTTGCTATTGTTTTTGCTCTTGATAAATTTAGATCTTATCTTTTAGGCACTAAAGTGTTTGTGTACTCTTACCATGCAGCTCTGCGTTACTTGATAGCAAAGAAGGAAGCCAAACCTCGATTAATTTGATGGGTGCTCCTTCTGTAAGAGTTCGACATAGAGATTCGCAACAAGAAAAGAACTGAAAATTTGGTAGCTGACCACTTGAGTCGTATACCCGTGGAGTCAGAAGCAGTTCCTGTTTGAGAGTCGTTTCCTGACGAACAACTTCTCTCTATTACGACTACACACCCTTGGTATGCTGATATTGTTAATTACTTAGTCACTAACGCGTTTCCTGCAGGTTGGGCAAAGGCGAAAAGGGATAAGCTCCGCAGGGATGCAAAATACTACATTTGGGATGACCCCTACCTTTGGAAGTGATGCTCTGATCAAATCATTCGAAGGTGCGTTAATGAAGGTGAATTTCATTTTGTTTTGACCTTTTGTCACTCTATGGCATGTGGTGGACACTTTGGATCCAAGAAGACAGCTAGAAAGGTGTTGGACAGTGGACTTTACTGGCCCACTCTCTTCAAGGACGCATTTGAGTTTTGTAAGTCTTGTGATAGATGTCAACGAACAGGTAATCTATTTTCCCGTAATCAAATGCCTCAATCTCCTATGATGTTTGTCGAAATATTTGATGTGTGGGGTATAGATTTTATGGGACCTTTTCCTAATTCATATGGATGTTTATATATTATCTTGGCTGTTGATTATGTCTCAAAATGGGTGGAAGCAAGAGCCACCCGAACTAATGATTCTAAGGTGACTGCAGAATTCATTAAGTCATATATCTTCTCTCGAGTTGGAGTGCCAAAGGCAATTGTGAGTGATAGAGGGACTCACTTTTGCAACAAAACCATGGCTGCACTTTTTCGAAAATATGGTGTGCTTCACAAGGTGTCAACCTCATATCATCCTCAAACGAATGGACAAGCTGAAATCTCCAACCGCGAAGTCAAGTCTATCTTGGAGAAAACAGTTCAACCGAACATAAAAGATTGGAGCTCGAGACTCGATGATGCTCTGTGGGTATATCGAACAGCATACAAGACACCAATAGGGATGTCACCATTTCGATTGGTGTATGGAAAGCCTTGCCATTTACCTGTGGAAATTCAACACAAGGCATTTTGGGCAGTGAAAAAGTGCAATATGAATCTTCAAGAAGCCGGAGCCCATAAAAAAATGCAAATTCAAGAGCTGAAGGAGATTCGACAAGAGGCATATGAGAATGCAATACTCTACAAGGAAAAGACAAAAGCCTTTCATGATCATCACATCTCCAGAAAAACTTTTGAGATTGGACAGAAAGTCTTATTATATCACTCTCGTCTTAAGCTTTTCCCTGGAAAGCTGCGCTCTAGGTGGATAGGGCCCTTTATCGTTACTAAACTTTTTCCTTATGGTGCAATGGAGATTCAGAGCTTAAGGATGGAGAAAAAGTTTGTGGTCAATGGACATCGTCTTAAGTCATATTACGAGGGATTCCCACTTGAATATGTAGAGTTGGTGTCTCTCGCTGATGTCGAAGTTGAGGACTGAGACGCGACGAAGTCTTGCTCAAAGACTATAAAGAAAAGCGCTTTTTGGGAGACGACCCAAAATCATTTAATTGCTTTCTTTAATTTTATTTATTTTTATTGTTTAATTGCTAATAACACTTTTGATAGTTTTGTTTGGTTTAGTCACCGCCTCCAACCTCTGGCGTCGTCGACTTCTTCCTCCCCTGCTCAGTCATCGCCGATCACCACATCCGCAACTCTAAATGGCTTGCGTTGGTTAGTTGTTTTCGCAGGACTCAGGAGAACTTCAAGCCTCCCTAAAAATCACGATCAAATGAGAGGTGTTAAAAAAGCTCCCAACTACTACACCCCCTATGGACTCCAGGGAAGTTTCTCTCTTCTTTTATTGCTTTATTTACATTGTGGACAATGCATACTTTTGGTGTGGGGAGAGTTATGCAAATTTTTGGGCAAAATTTTTATTTTTGTGCTATTTTTATGCCTGATTTGCTGTCTTTTCGCATGTTTTTGAGATTAGTCTGAAGTGAGTCAAAGGTGATTTGTGTGATAGGTTAGTTTGGCATGACTAATGACATTTGATTGGTGATATGTTGAGTCAAGTCGACGTTTGAACCCTGTGAGAATTTGAGCCTATGTTCCAAAAGTCACATTAGAAAATAAATTGCATATATTCAAGCTTTTGGAAATTTTTTTCATGTGTGATTTGTAGTGCTCAATTAGATGACCTAGAACTTGAGTGATTATGCATGTTGAACTTGCAACTATCGGGTCTTGCATTTTAAAAATGATAAGGGCATTAGGTAACCCATTAAGCCTTTCTTTATTACCCAGCACAATCTATTCCCCTAGTTAGCCCATTTGAGCCTTCTTAGCCTATTTTTTCTTTTATAATAAACTATTTTTTAGCCTCATACCCTTCTTTCGATTGAGCCTTCTCCGATTTGAACCCTATGTTAGAAAGAATTACTTTAAGTCCATGTTGTGATGCACTTTATTTCTTCGGCACTAGTTAGAAACAAATTTTGGGTACGAATAAGTCATAGCATGAAGGAATAACTGTGGGTAGTGTAGGTATATATATATATATAGGCAAAACCCAAAAAAAAAAATCAAAAATCAAAAAAATCAAAAAATCAAAAAAAAAAAACAAGAAATAAAAAATAAAAAAAACAAAAAAAACAAAAAAAGAAACAAAAAAATAATACAAAAATAAATAAATAAATAATTATCTTAATAAAGTATTTTCATTTAATTTCATTATTAAAGTTTGGGTAGTGAATAGAGTAAGGATTTGATTGTTTATGCCGATTTGTTTTTCATATGCTAGCATCGTGTTCTTATTGTGTTCTTTTCTGACATATTTTAGCCCTTGTATATCCTTTTCCCTACCCTGACCATAAGCCCCGTTACAACCCTTATTGAAAGTCCCTTTGATTCTTTATGCTAGATTCGAATATTTTAAGCAAGGAAGATTTGATTTTTACTCAAGCCTATAGAATAATCTTTTGTTGCACTACCTGAGTGTTGAGCCAATTATACACTTAATTGCTTCAGAGAGCATGTGCGAATACACTTTATCTTGTGAGGTTGATTTGGCTTGATGTGTTAAAATTCGGATTGAATTGGTTGTGTTAGACCCTCTTGTCATATCGAGTTGCCTGCGATTTCTTTGGCTTATTTCGAATTTATGCTTGAGGGCAAGCATGATCTAGGTGTGGGGAGAATTGATAGTTAGAAATCGCATGCATTTTATATTCATATCATATGCGATATTTGGGTGATTTTGATTGGATTCTACCTAATTTATATGCGAATTGTTTATTTGCTGTGTGCAGAGGGCAAAGATTCAATTTGGCATAATTGGCAGAAAAAAGGAAATAAAATTAATTAAAGGCCCAAAAGCCCATCTACAAAATAATTCGGGCAAAAATCAAATAAAAAGAAAGAGACACGCCTATTTTGGCAAGAGAGAACGATTAGGGTAGAAACGCACAGGAGCAGGAGACTGACAGATTCATAGATCGCGCAGGAGCAAATCGACAGAGAAGATTTCCCCCTCCCACTATGACTTCATCTTTCTCTTTTATTCTTTTTTATTTGATTATGGAGTAGATACTTTTCTGGTTTGAGGGGTGATAATGTT